TAATGACAACACATTCAGGGTTTTTTGTCAGGGTTAAGTTAAATAAATGATTTACTGTCAGGACTCAGCACAGTACCTTGCACATGGATTCTGTTTTATCAATGTGCATTGGGTTTGGATTTGAAAGCGTCTATCAAAGTATCTTTACCACGTACATCGTCAGCTGCTAGGCACTTTGGGACATAAAAGCCAACACGCTGGAAATAACTTGACTATGGATTACTTTTTTCTGGTGACACCTAATGGGATTTCAGTTCTGAAATGTTGTGAGACACCTAGTTCATCCATTTGACATTCTTCGTCAGTGGGGAAGCTGGAAATGCGGGTGAGCGGTGAGCGCCTGACGATGGAGAAGCTGAGTTTCCTCAACGTGTCAAGTCTGATCAAAATATCTGACACATTGTAGTCCAGAGAGATAACTTTCCAAGATGGCACAGTGTTTGCACTTCTGATGATCCCAGAATCCATGTTCACCAAGGATCTGGGAGTTTTTCTGAGGCAATCACGTCCAGCATTCTGGTAGCCCGATGAGCTAATTGAACACAATGGGAGAGAAAGCCAATCAGACTTTCGCAAGAAGTGGCTCAGTGAGACAAGATATTTTATTATTTAATAACCATTCATTGACAGAATCATAACATTGATATTTTAAAATGAGGTCATACAATAAGTCCTTGAAAAAGTAGGATAGTGGTTATCTTTTTTTTTTTTTTTACAATAACATAGTTTTTGAATATACAATTTTTAAAATAAAAATGCACTTTATCTCATGCAATCTTGGTTGTTATGCTACCCTCAGTAGCTCTTGGCCCCATTTCTATGGCACGATCATTTTTTTAAAATTTTATTATTATTATCATTTAACTAACCAGCTAAGCTGCGCTCTTCAGGAGTTAGGGAGAATGAATACATTAGTAGAGTACTAAGAATATTTTTTTATATTAAACTCATTTTTAACGAAGTGTGTACATATGACAATTTATGCCTAGGAAACCACAATCAACTATATTTTCATGGTATTTTTCTTAAAGTGAAATGTTTCCTTTGAGTTCAGTTCAATCTCTTTCCAGTATTTTTATTTTGGTGCCAGGATATTGATGTCCATTAACTAGTAGGGTAAATAGCCAGCATCAGTACGTTAGAAATATTCCCAAAGGCAGTACCCTGCTTCTTTGTTTCAAATGTAAAGATGGCAATCAGTTCTTTGGAGAAGCCAGCTATTAACTACCTGCTGAGTTTATTTGCACATGTCCTTCTCTGTTATATTCAGGCATCTAGAAATTAATTTGTTGCTAGATTACTTTTTGTATATATGATTATATTGAATAATATGAGATTTTGACAAAAAAAAAAAGCAGGGCAATTCTAAAGCATTATTTTAGGTCATTCAGTCTCTAATCTTTTCTAGGGCTCTTTTGCATGTAAAGTGTCTTTTTATTAAGTTATGGAAATTGGAACCTATCTCCTAGTTTCTAAAAACAATTATTATTTGTGTGTGTGTACTAGGGGTGTTTATGTGCTCTCCTTTTTCCATTATGATGCCTTTCTTATTATTATATTGAATGTTCTGCTCTCTGACTGAAAATACCTGTTATTCAGATCTTGTTTTTATTTTTTGTATTCTTTCATTTTCTCAGGTGCTTATGCCTTAATAAGTTTCCCTGCTTACTTCTTTGAGAATGGTTCTTTCACTAAAGATAATATATGGTATATGAGCATATTTACTTTGACCCTCATAAATATCTTTGTTTTTCAACTTTTCAAATACATACCATTTTACAATTTTATATTATAAAACCCTTTTGTAGGAAATACTGAATGTTGGCAATTGCACTGAATGGCAATTGGAAATTTCTCCATCTGCCCATAACCGTGATATACACAAAAAAACTCTTTTATTTGGCTAGACTAAGAGGTAAGGACTTTTGTGTGAGAGATCTAAGACTAGGAACAGACGAGACACATTTTTTTTTTTTCTTTTTGGTGTGATAATAGTGTTTCTGATAGAATTAAGGGAATAATATGACTGCAATGTCTTTTCTTTGATTTTGTTATTTCTTCCTATTACTGTGAAATAGGCATTCACTCCTTTGCTACTTAGCTATTGAATCAGATTTCTCAATAATTACTCTTCTTTTTATCTTTTAAAAATTCAGTCCATTCTATATACTGCTATTATATTAATTATCTTAAAACACTCTTTTGTGTAAGCTATTTCTCTGGTCGAGTCTTCATTGACACTTCATTGCTTAGAGAAAAATACTCAAAATACTTAGCCTCACATTCAGAAGCCTGCAAAATGTAGCTCTAATCCCTGCCCCCCTCCCTTAATGGTATATAGACACCCACCTGCAGGATTTAGCAGAGTGTTAAAAACACTGGCTCTAGAGACTATTTACTTCAAAGACTACATGGATACGGACAAGTTATTTCTCTTTCTAAACTTCATTCCCCTCACAGTTGGGATGGAGATAATGAGTATTTATCTCATAGGATTGTTAAGTATTAAACGTGTTAATACATGTGAAGTTCCTAGAACGGAACAGGCACAGTGCTTAGTGTAGATTATTATTTTTTAATTATTATTTATTTGGTTCAAATTTTTTTCCCCACATCATATGTCTCTTATTCTCAAATCATTCTGCGCCAGATCCTAACCAAGTGAAAACATTTCTGTTACATAAGTTAGTGATTTCTTCCTTCTGCGAACTTGGAACAATTATACATTTTGTGCTAATCATTTGATTTTTAATACTATGCTCTCTTTATTTGATAGTACAGCATTAAGATAATATATGGTTTTGTTTCCCCAAGCCCCCTCATTATCACCGTACTTACAAGTGCCTACCATGCAGTATATGCTCAACAAATAATTTTCATTGATGAAAACCTTTATAAAAGTAACTAAGAAAAGCTGCACTAGAGTTCTTATGTAAGTAAGTGTATCTTTACCTTATTACTTTCAGTCCTCTGATTTTCCGTGTTTTGAGTTAAGTGTCTTAAAGTAAGAGACCCATGTATGAAACATGATCGAAATTTTGTTTAAAATGTGTGTGTGTATGTGTGTGTGTCTGTATACCTTTACATAAAAGTCAGGAAAGATAGACAGCAAACGGAAACTAATAATTTTCTGTGAATTGGCTGAAGTGGAACTGCTGGTGAGTTGAGTAGCCAGAAGCACTCTTTTTTTTATTTTATATAATTCTAATAAAGTAGGGATAAAATTATACTTGAATCTTACTTTTATATTCTACAAAATTTTTTAAATAAAAAGGTATTAAGTGATATGTATGTATAAAAAGATTAGTTCTCTGTCATAAGAATAGAAACACAGTATTAAAAAGAACATTTAGGACTTCTTTCAGTTCTAATATGTAAACAGTGTGGAAGTCATAATTTTTTAATTATATGTTTTTATTGATTTTAGAGAGAAAGAAAGAAAGAGAGAGAGAAAGAAACATTGATGTGAGAGAGAAACATCTATTGATTGCCTCTTGTACACACCCCCACCAGGGACCAAACCTGCAACCTGGGGATGTACCCTGATTGGAAATCTAACTGGCAACATTTCAGTGAATGAGATGAGCTGAGCCACACTGGCCAGGGCTGGAAGTAATCATTTTAAAATGTAACAATAAGAAATATGTTGAACAAGCTAAAAATCAATGACTTTTTATAAATCTATCAGAGAACTGAGGTCAAGGACAAACTATCATCTGAAAACCTAGAGACACAGGTGAAGACAGAGAATAACAGCCAAGATCAGCTTATTTGGGATAGATGTATTGGATCCAGAACTGGTAAGACTACTTAAATGTTCCTATTACCAAATACATCATGTCATCACCAGCTTGTAACAAAGAATTACAAAGAATCCTAGAAGCACAGTAAAGAGACAACACAAATATCAAGACCAGATTCAGATATGACACATATTTTGGAACTACCAGAGATGAAATTTAAAATAGCTATGACTAACATATTAAGGCATGAATGTAAAATGTAGACAATGTATAAGAGCAGATGGATGATATAAGCAGAAAGATGAAAACTGTAACAACAGAAAATGCTGGAAAAAACAAAGATGATTTGAGATTGCCTTTGATGGACTCATCAATAGATTAGATAAAACCAAGGAGAGAATAAATGAACTTGAAGATATCTCATTAGAAGTTCTTGAGTGAATAAAAAGAGGAAAAAGAATAAGCAAAATGGTACAGAATATCCAACAACAGTGATATGATTGCAAAAGGTATGAATGAAATGGGAATACTAGAAGAAGAAACAGAGACAAAGGAGAGAAAAATTTGTAGTAATTACTGAGAATTTTCCAAAATTAGTGGCAGACACAAAACAACACATCCAGGAAGCTTAGAGAATACAATAAAAATATACCAAAAATATATATATGTACACATAGGAATATTATAATCAGATGACAAAAAACAAACAAAACAAAAAAACAAAGAGAAAATGTTGAAACTACAGGAAGGAAAAAAACCACACCATACTTAGAGAAAGACAAGTATCATATGATCTCACTTATTTGTGGAATATAATGAACTTAACAGTGTGAGGAATGGGGTAGTCCCAGAGATGTGGAAGTGGGGTACAGACTGACAATCCCCAGAAGAGGGTTTGATGGGGGAGATATAAACCACAGAATTTATATGCATGTATGCATGAACAATGGACACGGACAACAAAGCTGGGGACAGGGCAGGGAGGGTGGGGGAGGGGGAATCAGTGGGGGGAAAAGGAGAAACATCTGTAACAAAAATAAATTAATTGATTAATAAAAAAACACCATACTTATAAAGGAAAAGTATAAGAATTATAGAAGACATTTAATTCAGACATAAGAATAGAGTAGAATAAAACTTAAATTATTGAAAGAAAAAAAATACCAATTTAGAATTCTGTACCCAGTGAAAACATCTTTCAAGAATGAAGGAGACACCCCCACTGGGGTAACTACTATTAAAAAATAAAAAAACCCAGGGCTGGCTTCGCAGCACATAGACTAACACTGGAACGATACAGAGATTAGCATGGTCCCTGCGCAAGGACGACACAGAAATTCGTGAAGTGTTCCAGATTAAAAAAAAAACAAGGAAAAAAAATTCTGGACAAAAACAAGTGTTGGAAGGATGTGGAAAAATTGAACACTTGGGCACTGTTGGTGGGATTGTAAAATTGTACGACCACGATGGAAAACAGTGTGGACATTCCTTAAAAAATAAAAATAGAAATATATGTACCCCCATCTTTGTAGCAGCACTATTTACAATCGCTAAGATCTGGAAACAGCCCAAGTGCCCATCAGTAGACGAATGGATTAAAAAGCTGTGGTACATATACACAATGGAGTACTACGCAGTGGTAAGAAAGAAAGATCTCTTATCCTTTGAGACTACATGGAGGGACCTGGAAAGTATCATCCTAAGTGAAACAAGCCAAACAGAGAAAGACAAATTTCATATGATCTCACTGATTTGTGGAATATAATGAACATAACAGTTTGAGGACAATCCCCTAAGGAGTGGGGAGGCGAGAGAGGGATGAACCACAGAACTTATATGCATGTATGCATGAACAGTGGACATGGACAACAATCTGGGGAAAGGGCAGGGAGGGAAGGGGGAGGGGGGAATCAGTGGGGGAAAAAAGGAGAATCATTTGTAACAAAAATTAATCAATAAAAAAAATAAATAAATAAAAATAGAACTATATGATCTCCCAATCCCACCTCCGCGTACACATCCTGAAGAAGGAAAGCAGGGTCTCAGGATATATTTGCACACGCATATTAATAGCAGCACCATTCTCAATAGCCCTGAAACACAACGTTACTTCAAACTGTGTCCTTCAGAGGTTTCAGTCCACTGTCCCAGTCTCCTGCCTAATAAACTCAAAACTATAAAATAGGAGACTATGAGTTTGAACTATGTCTTTGTTTTCTTTTTTTCTTTCTATGCTTTATGAGACTATAGGACATTTTATTTTGCCTTTTTGAAGTTTTTTTCTCCCTAGCTCCCTAGACCCTGGTGGAAACAAAAATTCAGAAAATATATAGTAGATAAAACAGCCATGCATTCTAATCTTGTTAACTTTCTGGTTTATCCACCAACACCTCATGAAAGGTAAGTTTATTTTGGTTATTCAGTCACTCAACATAATCTTTGTTCTAAAGCAAGTCTGATTTATAACCACGCCCAGAATTATTCAATGAGTAAATAAAAAAAGACCTGCAACATATCATCTTACTTCCGAAAGCTCCTCCGACAAAATTTGAGTTTTCTATTCCTTGTTGCTTCAAGACTTTTGGATGTCTTTAAAAATATGTTTAGCAATGTTATTCAACCTCTTCTAGTTGTTGGAGTCTGATAGGTGGTCTACTTGGACTTATTATTTATTTTTTTCCCCAAAGCAAAGTCCTTTTCTTGAATTTAATACTAGGCAAAATTTTGGATTTTTTTTTTTTTTTTACAGTGGAAGTAATGGAAAGCTTAATGGTTTGTTTATAGTGTCACTTAATGTCTCATATTCTATAAAATGCAAACTTCCAATATGACTTTTATCCAAGAGACATATTATATTTAAAAAAGCAAAATTATAAATAAAATATTTCAAGCAAAGCTTTGAAAAGTATAACATGAAACTAAGTCTAGATATCACCATCAATTAAAATTTCTGGAACTGGTGTTTGATTCTTAGACCTGGGTGTGAAATTTTCCTTTTTTAATGCCATGTCAAACTCTTCCCTAACCAGTGATCAATAGCACCATTTGATGGAGAAATCAATACAGGATTGATTAATATATTTTAATATGTATTTTTAATTTATTTCTAACAGGAATATTTATTTGACTATACTATTGTTTATATTAAGGATTATGGGTTTGATAAAGAACTCTCAACCTTCTGTTATTGTTGTAATAATTAAAATACATATTTTGAAATAACATATATATAAATTAAATAATGAAATAATTATTGTGGAAGTAATTAGGAGACTCAAGAAGCTTCCATTAGGATAAGAATTCTATTTTTTTGACTATATGGTTATTCAAAATAGCCAAATTTTGCATAGCACTTAAAATATACCAGGAACTATAGTATTTGTTTAATGTAAATGATGACATTTAATAATCAGAGTTGGTAGAAATAATTATTGTAATTGTTTTAAATATGAAGAAAATGAGGCTTAATAATTTTAAATAGCTATACCAAAGTAACATAACTAATAATATAAATGAGTTTTCTTTGGTAAATCTTAGAAAATTATTTTTAAAATATGTAGTTAGTTTCTTCCTTTTTCTTTTTACTTTAGTGCAGTAAACTGAAGTCTTAGACTACATACTATTCTGATAACTGATGATGCTTCTCACAGAATAGTTTCCAACTATAAAGATTGTGTTGACTTTCCTTTTCTCTTCATAAGCAGATGGAATAAAGAATTGGAAGAGTGTGAATAAAGCTTGAATGAAACTCAAAACCCTTGTTAGGAGTCTGGAAATTTGGGACTAGACCCAGGGACCACATGTCACTGCAGGGTGATCCATTTTGCAAGGAGGATCAAAAGTATCAGGCAATGTCAGAAGTCTAGTTTGACAGTCAAAGAACAATTCTACCTTTAGATAACTATGTAAATAATAGTTTATACTAGTCTACAAATCAAATCATACATATACATTACTTATCTGTACTCTTTCAAAACTGCATAGTAGATAAGTGTTATCATCTCTATTTTACGGATGGAGTTAGGGTTGAAGCTTGAGAAAGCAGTAAGTTAACTACCTGTGAAAAATGATTAGAGACATTTCTCTAAGTCCAAATCTCACCACCATTTGGTTATAAGAAAGAAATAATGAAAGGGATCAAAGTAATCTCTATTAAAGGGATAGAGAAAGGAGTAAATTGACTATATATCTACTGAAAGAGCTTCAGATCCTGCTTTTTAATGGAAGATCTGAAACCCCAGTCAGTTGTGATTAGTACTTTTTTCCCCTTGTGAAGGAAAAGTTAGGGGGCAGAGAGAGGGACAGAAATCTCTTTCTACCCATGCTTTCATTGCTCAGCAAAATTAATGTGAGTTTGAGTTTATTTATCATCTATCTATCATCTATCTATCTATCTATCTATCTATCTATCTATCTATCTATCTATCTATCATCATCATCTATCATCATCTATCATCTATCATCATCATCTATTTATCATCTATCTATCCATCTACCTACCTATCATCCATCTATTATCTATCTATCTATCTATCTATCTATCTATCTATCTATCTATCATCTATCTATCTATCTACCTATCATCTATATATCGACACATATACCCAAGCAAAATTTTAAATGAATAAGTGAATGATGCTCATATGTCATCCTGAAGCATAAAGTGGGGTGGAGGTTCAGAGGTAGAGGATAGATCTGGGGAATCATTATTTTATAACAAGCTCTCCAGGTGATTTTTAAAATCATAGACCTTTGGGTACACCACATCATATGTCATAATGCAGAAAATAACTGGCAGTAATATCCCGAGTACATAGATCAATTAGTGTCAGGTTATTACTTTCCTCTAAGTGGAATTTCAGAGTTGGCTATCTCCAATTTCTCTCTACATATACCTCTGTTTCTCTTTCTCTGCTTCTCTCTTAAAATACTTTTCCTAATGTCTATTTCTGTCCCCTCTTCTTATGTCTGTTACTCTCAAAATAGTCTCTGATGTTATATTTACTTGTTCTTTGTAAGATGGCAGTTTCACACTGTACTTATAATGTTCAACACCATTTAAAAAATTTTTCTCATCAGGCACACAGATGCAATAGCCATCCTAGGCTTATACATAAAAATCAAGTGTGAGGCTCACATTAATGAATACATAGAGTTTGGAGCGTTGTACATTTTTTCCCTCTCCTCTTCCTTGAGGTTTGTTTTGCTCAGATGTTGTCTCTCCTGACTCTCCTTGTAACTGCAAAACTCATTTGCAGGCTTATGAACTTAGTGAACTTCCAAGGTAGTTATTTCTTGAGAGAGAGAGAGAGAGAGAGAGAGAGAGAGAGAGAGAGAGAGAGATGCATTGGCTAAGCAGTCATCTCTCTTATTCTTTAAATTTGTAGTGAAAGATATTATTTCAGGGGCTTAGGAATTTTCTCTTGGTGCTGCATATATATGATTTGATCTGGTAATAAACGTAAAATATAGTCTTACATAAACGTACACACAAGCTAACAGTTGAAGGTGGCAAATGAATTATAGAACACAAAACTCGTACCTAGTAGCCTGACTGCCCTGTGTGTATAAAATTTCATACTATGTGAACAGAGCTTCTTTAAAAGACTTTTCCCAAATAATATTTCTAACAGTGTAAGAAACTGGGACCTTGAAGTAAACCTTTTCATTTTTGAAAGTGCATTTACTACTTTAAGATTCTGTCTAGAATCCTCTGTGCATTTATATGCTGCTTCCTACTGCTTGCCCTGTGTACCTGAGTTCTGAACAGTGGAACAGGAGAAACCAGCTTATCCTCCAAAGCTCATTTCTGACTGAGGAGAGGGTACAGGTCAGTGCTAGCGTAGACTGCCGAATCTTACTGCTTTGCTATCTGTGCGCTGTGTATTGAAACTCAAGTGAAATGCAGTATTCTGAATCAATCGAAGATGTTGATTGAGCACCCATGATGTGTTAGGTAGAGTAAGAAATTAAAATTGGATTAGGAAAGGCCCATACCCTCAGGAACTTAAAATTTAGTTAGCTACAATTTTGTTTTAATGTGAAAAATTATATACCAATAATACCAAAAATAATCTTAAAAAGTAAGTTAAAGTTTAGGTGATAGTAGCTGCAACAAATACAGTAAGTTAAAGTTTAGGAGATAGTAGCTGCAACAAATACAGTAGACAAACGATCAGTATTCAGAATATTTGACAATTGTCAACATATCAGTGAGTAAAAGATCAATAATACATATCAAAATGTGCAACTGATATAAAAAATAATTTGGCCCGTAAGCAGTAGTTTGCTGCTTAAGTTAGAAGGCTATTGCGATAATCTTGAGAGCATTAGTTATCATGAAGTAGAGATAATTAAGAG